ATTACTTAATATTTCAATTTCATTTTTTCGATATTGAACATAGAAAAAAGCTCTAGTTGAATATCGAAAAATGAGATTAAAACATTAAGTAATCCGCATAACAATTTCGAAAAACATACTATATTTTAAAAATCATTTTTTAAATAAAATTTCGAAAATAAAATTTTCGCAAAGTCGCATCCTATTGAGCTACCGAAGCACGCGGAATGCCTCTCTCGGGGCAGCTATCCATGCCAGCCCCTCACATCCAACCCTTAAGAAACATGATTTTGAAAAAATGATCGCCCACCAATTGCAGATGGTTTTTTACGTTGTAAAATCCACCATTCTAAAACTAGAATAATAAATTAATCTGTTTTTCAGACACATCCTGATCCTCAGCGCTGCACCAGTCGCCGCCGCCAACCATCCTACCTTCAAGCCGCTCGTAGGCCACGATTTCGCCACAACCAGGTGATTTTGATTTTCTTTTTATTATTACTTTTAATAATCACGTTTTAATGAACAAGAATAAGAAAATAAACTTAGATTCGTGACCGACAAGCAGCTCCTGGAGCAAGCCATCCACGATCACTACAAAATGAACAAGGGCCAGTACCAGTTTCCGAAAAATCTGGACACACAGTTGCGAATCGCGGGAGCTATTGGTAAGTTTGTCTCGGTGTAGAGCTTAGTCATCCTCTCATAATTTGTAGTACAGCACAATACAAACTACGTTGTTACAGGTGCCCCAGCGCAGACCAGCTTGAACCTGATGCCCACGCAAGGAAACGCCCTCTTCGCCCGGCCGGCTGAAGCGTGCTATCGACTCCTTAAAGGTTAGCATTAAACGATAGAAATCAGAATAGCACAAAATTAAAGGGTATAACCCTGCATTTTCAGCCCTGAAAAATGGTACTTGGCCTCGTCGTGGATGTGTTACCATCTCGTACAGACGATTTGTCAAGGATGCGCGGTGCAAGGTAGGCGAGATTACATAATTTTTTGGCAACAAAAGAATAAGAAGAGAAGCAAAATTTAGAATTTGCAGAATTTCGAATTTTCAAAATTTTGAATTTTCCGAATTTCAAAATTTCCATAGTTTGTAACAAAATTAATAGCTACACACAAGGTAGTTGCCGGAAAAAATTTTTGGGCCCCGCCCAAAAAACTTCGAAAAACCCCAAAAAATAACGGGAAAACACCCCGGAGGCGAAAAATTTGGGAAGGGCTTCCGGCCCCCCCAATAGCGGTAAAACGGGAAAAAAAACCCCCGGGGCCCCCAAAAAATTAGGAGAAAAAAACAAAAGGGTCCCCCCCCCCCATTTTTTTGGCCCGGCCCCCCCCCGGGCCCGGTCCCCCCCGCCGGGCCGGCGCTTCTCCCCTCCGCTACACAAATTGTACGAATATGCCCTGCACTCAGCTTAAGCAAATTTCCTTGAAGCCGAAGATTCGAGATTTCGATTTTTCGAGATCATGCAAACTAAGATTCTGATTTTGTTGATTCTGAAGGCAATTTTCGAGACCTAGTCGTTGTCAGGGGGTCTTTTTTAGCATAGTGGACGTTCTAATAATGGGTTTTTCCAGATCACAATCAGTTCGAACATCGACGAAAATTTTCTCGGCGAAGTCGCCGACCTGCTTGAGAGCCTCAACACTCGCGGACTCCACGTTTCCGTGAAAACCGACGTCTCGATGTAAGTATTGAGGTTTTCGCTGAGTAATGTGTCCTTAGATTTAGCCCATAAGACGAGAATTAAAGTTACGAAAGCTAATAAATACAAAACGCAATTTCAGGGCCCTGAACAAGCGCGGAGTGCTGAAATCCCCACACTACCAAGTCTTCCGCGGCCCTATCGCGCAGTGGAAATCTGCTTCTACCTCCCTCGCTGCTCAACCGATGAGACAAGAACGTCAGGGATGATTATTTTTCTTGCATAATATTGTATTAAGGTGCCCCATCCTTTACCGTCCATTATTTTTTTTTCTGCCTTTGCAATCAACTATTGTTTCTAATCTAAATTTTGCGTGTGGTCGAGCTTTCCTTGTTTTCATTTTTGTGTCTCCCTATGATTGTTTTGTCAGTTTTGCTATTTTTCCCCACCGGGTATTTACTCTAACTTTAAATTTTTCACTAACGTCCTTTTTTTTACTTTTCATTTTTACGGGGCTTTAAGATTTGTCCTACCTTGCGCCAGCAATTCTTTTATTTTCGTTTTTGTGTAGCGATTTGAATTTTTACCATTATGCTTATCGCAAATAAACGGGTATTCGAAAATATCGCGATTTATCTAGCATAATCATTTGGGAAGCCAACAAACACTGTCGGTTTGTGACCTAACGGGCCAATTACCGGGGCGCTCACACTGTTTTTCGGAGCCTAATTCCGTACTTTCCCATACCAGGATTGCAAAATAGTAATCACCGCAGGGCGTGGCCTAATAGTTACACGTGGCAATTCTGTAGCCGAGACCCAATGAATTATACAAGCATGGATCTACTAGTTACCGGAATTGGCCTGTTATGCGGCGTGTCGCGCTTACGACCGTTGGTTCGGTAAGTCGTGGATTTCTCATGGGGAACCCGGATAGAATATCAAATTATCGGACATACGAATTTCAGGGATCGCTATTTTCAAAATTTGAAAATTTTTATGGGAAGAGTCGTAAATATTGGGAGAATTTAACGGCTACGGTCTGCATATAGTTGAGGAAATTTTGTGATTCCAAAAATTCTAATTTCCTACGAGCTAGATGAGGGAGTTGTGATGGATGTTTGATACCTAAAACCCACTCGAAAACTTTGCTGTTTTAGAAGCCGTTCGAGGAGGACGTCGTATTTTCGAAAGAAACGCTTGATGAGTTTTTGACGAATCTGAAGACCGCAGCTTGTGGACTTTCGCACCTGCCGCCAAATGTTCTCCGTTTGACGCGTGACGCGGACGATGAAAGAGCGGGCAGGTTAGCAGGGATTCTCGTTTTTCTAACAATAATTATCGCGTTTCAAGACACGTGTTCATGCAGCAGATGCGCGGCTTGGTACCGTGGGATCAAGCGTTCCAAACCGTGCAACCATCCGCCTCCGTTCTTCGGTATGTTATTTCCCAGGTTGGAGAAAACGAATTTTAGGTTCTTTGAGCGTCAACGGACAGCAAAACAGGAAACTGGCAAATTTTTTGGCTTTGCCTGAGCAACTATATTATGAGAAAAACACAAAATTCCAGCAAAAAATTAGGTTTTAGGACATTCCGGATGCACGCTGGTGATCGAATTGCCTCCGAAGTCGAAAATTGTGAAAGCACGATACTTAGGACAGCTGTTTCTGGCAATTTCGAGAGGTGTGTTGAGATTTAAAAATCGTCTCACGATGCAACAGCCGAAAAAAATCGATAACCAGCGTTTTTTCTCGAAATTTTTATTTGCAGCACTGAACTCAGGCCGCTTCCACTCTTGCGGCGTTGTTTCAATCTCATATCGGCACTACACGCAGGATAAAAATGCCAAGATCAAGGTATGAATCTTGATTAAATCTTTGCCATCTATCAATCGTATTAGAAAGATAAAAGAATACAGACATAAAAAATACTAGCAATAAATAAAATGAAAAAAATTTCAGTTCACCGCCGAAAACGGCAATTATTGGATGTGGTTAGAGAACTTGCACGAAATCTACCAAGGAGCGTGGAGCTGCCCGCCACCTTGTGGCTTCAATGTCAGGCTCGAGGCTGATGTGGGGGCGTAAGTTCTTGAAAGAACTTGAAAATAAAATCTGCTGATTATAAATCGAAAACAACTTGGCTTAGGATCCTGAACGGGCACTTCCACACAGCCGGGAATTCGCCCTATCTTCAGCCCATCGTAGCACGGCCAGCTGAAAGCTGCAAGATCCTTTGATTCCGTCTGAAAAGTCATCCTTGATGTGCCATATCGCGTTTCCAGCGCCTCAGTGTATAGCCGTTCCACTGTTCCAAGTTTCTTAGTTTTTCCGCAGCTTTGAGTGTTCCAAATAAAGAGATTTTGTCACACAATTTTTTGGAATGGACTTACGGAGCAGTGGCTCGCGCGGCCAATCTTTTGATGAAATCGGACGCAGGTTTTGGAAAGGACCGCGCCATACAGGGTGTCCCAATAAAATACACACTCGCTTTAACTCGACGCAGCAGTATTGCATCGGAACGACAGCTACACCATTCGAAAGCCTTTGAAGCTGCGCGCAGCCGGCAACCTTCATAACAGCCTTTTTATTCTAAAGCGCCATTTTTTACAACGCATTTAAAACCTTATGGAACCGGCCTCTGCATCTAAATCACGGCCATTTTCGGGAATTTTCCTTGGAGAAATTGAAGCATTTTAGCTCGGATGCAACCCCGAAAAATCCGGCCTCTGCCTCCCGGTATTTTTTCGCGTAAGTGATGAATCACGGATTCGGCCACGCAAAGACAGGAGCGGCAAATATGTAGATTATAGAGCCCTCAACCAACAAAAAATCTGCCGTCGACTTCCGGATGATCAGCTGATAAGCTCCCTTCAGCGGCGCCCCTAATCTCGCACGTCGTAAATCATACGCGACGAAAAGTTTTGTAGGGTAAGGTGTCGGTATAAAAGGCAAGGTGCGAAGTCTAAAACCAGTAGCTTCACCTGCTTGCTATCACAGTTAACCTATACGCTGTCTAAGCGGGTTTCTCTTTCTTAAATGGCTTAACATTTTGTTGTTGTTAAACGTTTTGCTAAAAAGACACAATATGTGTTTTTCTTTGATAATATTGTAATTAACTGGCGGATCTCGCATAAATCAGCTGTTTTCCTGGCTTTTTGTCATAAAAATTAGTCGCTTAATTTAGCAAACCAAAAGCGCATATTTTCTCCCTTTTTCGAGAGTTTTCGCTAGATACCTAATCATTAAAACCGAACACGACTGTGGACCGCTGGAGGAGTATTTGTTGTTGTTGCCCAAAACTTACAGTACCCAGCCCCTTTCTGACTGAATTCAAATCACACACGCACCTAGCTAATCTTGTTTAGATGATGGCTACCCAAATGAGCCTGCAGTCGGCTCAAGAAGCCTGGAAGCAGATTGACGCGCTCGGGGTCGATGGTGTTCGAAGCAAGAAGGGCATCTACGTGACCGTTAACGGCAACGATCCTACCGGAAATGTGTAGGTTACTGAGCGATTCCTATGCATACCCAGTTTCAAACGAACACGTCAGAACCTATGTGTTCAAGTGCATCGGAACGAATTTTATAGGGTAATCCGCACGACGAATAAGCCGTCGAGCGACGGCACAAACGACCCGGCCTTTAAAACAGTACGGGCCATGGGGCTGCCAATCACAAGGTATATTTTCGTAGTAGTACGGAGTGTTGGTGCAACGTCCTCTAGCTTCGCTTGCGAGCGCGCGCTTACCCAAAAACGCATCGACGACTACTTCCGGACGCAGAAAAGCCGCTACCGTGACCCGGAGCTGCTGGCAACGCAACAACGCATCGGCAGGGACTGCAGTATGAAGTGTTGCATCCACAAAAATTTGAACGAGTTTTAGGAGCCACCGGACAGACTACTGTGTTCTTGGACATCGACAGCCAGATAAAGAGCAAGGCATCGTACGTCCGCCCGGCTCAAGTGTTCATCGCTCTGCTTAAGGGTTGGTCTCCTTCAGCAGTCATCGGTCCCGCATGTTCCCTTTTTGCAGGATTTTCAACCATTAACCACTTTTTAGCGCTTCGAGACAACGTCTGGACGCCGGAGGGCTGCGTGACGATCGCTTTCAGAGACTTCCTCAACGAGACTCGCGCTGAGGCAAGTTTTTAGGGTGTATTTTGGGGGCTTTGATGGGAGCTCTGCTTGTAAGTAGCTGATAAGAATTAGAACCCGTAATTAAGAATCCCATTTAACAAAAACCTCCTAGGTGACCATTGAAGGAGACGTCGCCAAACCCTTCATGGGCCAAATCGCTGACCTTCTCGTCGAAGGGGGTGTAAACACGAACCAGCTACGCATGGTGGTCAGGACCGATGTTGGGGAGTAGGTTTCTTGAGGCGGCAGTCGGATTTTTTTCTTGAACCACTAAGCTTATCGCCTTTTTAGCGCGCTACGAACTTATGATCGGATCAAAACGTGTGAAAATGTTTTCGAGGGTACGGTAGATGGATTGCGTACCCCGCAACCGGGTGCCGCTGGCGTCCCGCGCCCTGCCAACGCCTGAATGACGCAGTAGGAGTGAAAATGCCGGGCAACACCATCGTCCAATCGTGGTAATTATTTAGGGGGGATTTTTAAAGGGATCATAGCAACATTATTATGAAAACACCCTCAAGTAAGGTATTCATGGCGTGTTTTTTCAATTTAGAGCTCGGTAAAACTTCATTTCGTCGAAAGATAAAGATATGTAGCTTGAGTTAGTTTCGCAAAAAAATACTTTAGAATCTGCGCAACGATTTGTAAGGCGTGACGGAAGCCAAAAATCTTCCTAAAAGTGCTTTTCTGAGACCAGATGCGACGGGATGACTAATATAAACATCTTGCCATCTCCCATCGATTTACACAATTTTTCAGAGATTCCCGGTCGACATTGCTAGCAACCCCTGTATCGGCGAAGTGACCGGGACCTTTTCGAATTTTCCTCTTCTGTAAATCTGTTTTTTTTGCGGCTGTACCGCGAATAAATGGCTTTGTTAATGAAATAATTTTTATATACGCAATACGTTATACTACACGGAACTATCTAAAAACCTAGATTTTGTCATTTTTTGAAAACCATCCTTACATGGTAATTATTTTGCTACGTCTAGCAAATCTCAAGAAAATCTCTGTTTACGTCCGTCCACGGCGTTCATCCAAATTTTTTCGTGTTTTTGCAATGAAAAATTCGTTATTCTAACTTATAGAACTTCACCAATGTCGTAGTGCGAAAAATTGAGCGCGATTTTTGGATAAAAAAATCTAGTTTTAATTGGCCACGGAACAAAATTTCCTCGCGTCAGCTTTTGCCCCAACAGAACAACCAGAATTTCGACATTGTAGCCCGGCCAAAAGACCGGCAGTCCATTCGGGGCCGATCCCCTTTCCCTCACATAAGCAAACTTTAAAAAACACAGATAAGCCGGCACAGCTTCGGAGTGGATGGCCAGTCACCCACAAAATATTCTTGCAGCGCAGAATTTCCCGATTTGGAATCGATTCTTAGCAGGTTAACATTTTTGCGTCTTTGATTTCAGGAAAAGCACATTTTTCGAAGAAAATTAATTTAATTTGATACGTTTAATATAACAACACGATCCCATGTTTAGTATGCCACTGACAATCGATGGCCAATATTCCAACGAAACCGTCGACGAATTTTTGGAGGGCCTGAAAAAAGAAGACTTGGCCAAGATTTGGGACAAAATCCACCTGACCTGCTTGCCGAGTGAGGACGACATGGGAAGGTAAGAACTTCTTTTTTTTTCTTACTAAGAATCTTACTAAGAAGCACCCGCTTGTATTCTTCATGTAAATTACATTATTAGGTTGAAATTAATGCGTTAATTAAATCATTACTTGATTTAAACTATTAAGTTGAACTACTGGTATACAGGGTGTCCCAATAAAAAACCCCTCTGACTCGACTCAGAAATATCGGATCGGAATGAGCGTTACACCATTCGAAAGCCCTTGAAACGGCGAGTTTGCAATAATCTTCAAAAGGATGTTTTTATTTAAACCCGCGTTTTACGAGCCAATTTGTAAAAATTTGCGGTATTTGAGGGTTGCGTTTATGAGCTAATTTGCCTCAATTTCTCCAAGCGAAAACACCGGAATTAGCCGTTAATTGGATGCAGAGGCCGTTCCTTGATGTTTTTAAATGCTTTGGGTTTGGGTCGTCCGATGGTTGGTTATCTGCGAGGTGTGGGCAGGTCGTCCTTCCGGGTTAAACTTAGACCACCTCCGCCCAATTAAGTGCCAATTCCCTTTATTTACGGGGTTTTGCTGTAGGCAGCTGTCGCGGGTCCATCCCCTCTTTCTCTCTCTCTCTGTCCCTCACTCTCGCTCCCTCCCTCTCTCTCGCTCTCTCTCTATCACTCACTCTCTCCTCCTTCCACTCACTCTCTCTCTCTCTCTCTCTCTCTCTCTCTCTCTCTCTCTCTCTCTCTAAAGCTTTCTCGCGGCAAAACTCTTTATTCGGACATTTAAAAGCACATGGAATAGATAAAAACAATTTTCAGGCAAGTTAGGCAGACTTAGAATCGACGGTATATGGATGGTTCAAATCTAGCGGTGAAAATATGTACAATGCGGTTGCAGATAAACCTGCTCTGGTTCATCACCGCTTTGAAAAACAATTCTAGCGGCACGAATCAGGGCTAAACGGATGGGCTGTCCTCTAGTTGACATAAAATCGTTAGGGCTCAAGCATTGGCTCCTATGCGGCGCGGTTCACCTTTGACATTCTAACGCCACCTTTAGTATACGTATAATTTTCCATCAAGATCAGAATTTTACAAAATCAGTGCAATCATCTCCGGCGACGAGGGTAAAGTGTTCTAGAATTTTCGTTTTGGACAGTTGGGACTTAAAATATGAGGTGGTGGCAGCCAGGGTTGGTGACGCTGGATCCGAATCGGATCCGGTCCGGTCCGAGGGTCGGTCCGGCCTGGTCCGGTCGGAAATTTCCATTCGGTTCGTACCGGAAGGGAACGGACCGGACTGGACCCCGGACCGTCAGCGGACCGAATCCTTTATGACCAACCCTGGTGGCAGCCATTGCCAGGAATGCGGCATCTCGTGCCCCTGTGAGGTTGAACCCATACTGCAGGAGTCGGGCAGGCATCACGCAGCACAGTTCCGCGTTCTAAACAATATCTAGATTGAATTCTATGCGTTTTTGGATACCTGGTAAAGAGCAAAGCAAACTCCTGTAGTACGCTGTCTTTTAAGGACATCAAGTTCCAAGTCGTCTAGGGCGCACGGTACAAACCCGCCGGCGTACTCCAGGTTTCCCCGCAGAAACTTCAGGGTAGCGGTAGCCCGTAGCAGTTCGTCAACAGTCGGTTGCGAGCTGATTTCTTCGGTTAGATGCCTAAAAACAAGGTGTCTGATTTGGGTTATTTGGTTCTTTTTGGGGCTTCCGGGGGGTGTTCCCGGTGAGGGGGACCATCTTTTCCTGGCGGTCCCGGTTGACCTAGTAATCAATATAGGGTATTTTCGCATTGTTTTAGTAAATTTTAACTAGATTTAAATAGAAAAAATGTTTGAAAAAGTCGAAAATTTGGTCATTTTGGGTCCTGCCCCTCCCCCCCCCCCGCAAATCCTAAAGGTTCTATAGCATTTTTCGACCTAAAATGAAAAATTTTTTTAAAGAAAATTTTGGTAGTTTTTATGCTTGGGAATGGTTAAAAACAATTTAAAAAGGCATCCGCTATTTATAAAAAATCTGAAGCATGTGCCGAAAAAATTTGGCTTCCCCCCGCGAAGCCTTCCCCCCACGAATCCTAAAGAACCGGTCCGGTTGTTTAAATCACTGGATCTGCGAAATTAATCCGAAGTTCAACTCACTGAATTTGCAGCATTTTCATGTTTAGTGTTAGAAGCGAGCGCCTTTCCGAACGACTTGTTGGGCAGGTAGAGCGGCTCGACGATGAACGCTTGTCTATGTTGGGGGAAACCATTGTTTTGTATAAGCCAGAAATTTTCCTCTACGTTTTGCGTGCAAGTTTGCTATCTGAAACAGCGGAAATTAGCTAAAAACGTAAAAAATAGGCTTGGGTTGAAAAGAGGGTCAGACTGGGCTTACCGGATGCGCGGACCCTCCGCCCAGCAGGGGTCGTTCTCCCTCTCACCATTAATTTACGGGGTGATGGGGACGTTCCCCCTTCCCCCGCGCAGCTCGCGGCGGGTTGACTTGCAATTGTTGAGGGTCACCGTCAACAGAAAAGAATTTGGAAACCTTTGACGCGAAACCTTTTTGGTAGATGAACATGGGTGTGAGTGTGGACAGGGTCGGTGAAAACCGGTGGTCTATAAAACCACTTATACCAGTAGTAGTCGAGCTTATTTGCATTCTAACGATTTAGACAGCTTTGGATCGTCGACAAGGGCAGACTTGCTGCTTGGAAAGATGAGTTCCAACCGGTGGACCGGGATGCCGAGCCGATCAAGAGGTATTTCAAGTCATAAAAATTGGCATAATTATATTTTTATTTTATATTTTTATATTTTGTATTTTATATTTTATATTCATATTTATTACTAGTTTACAGCTTTCTGGAGCAACAAGAGACGACGAAGAAAGATGTTATCAAGTATTATGAAGAAAATAAGGTACGTACATACAGAAGGGCTGCACTCTTGCTATCTCTCTATCTCTCACTCACTCTCTCGCCTTTTCGCTCTCTCTCGCTCTCTCTCACCCTCTTGCGCGCTCTTTCTCACTCTCTGCTCGAGCTCATCCTTTCCCTCTCTCTCTCTCTCTCTCTCTCTCTCTCTCTCTTCCTATATCCAGATATTTCAGTTCCCTCGCTTTCTAAATTGGGTCTTTTCAGGAGAGTCTAGTTGATATGCGTACGATGGCCGGCCAAGAGAGGTTTGGAAAGAGTGTTAGTAAGTAACTTCGAAAAAGTTAACTTTACCTATGGTACGCGGTATGCATAAAAAGTGTATCGAAACGCACGCGTCATGTAATTAATCATTATCTAGAAATCTTAACCTATATAAGGAAATAACATTTTTTTTCAGACAAACCCAGCTGCAGTCTCTTGATCCACAGCAAAGACCTTTCGGACAAGGCCATGGCCACGCAGTTGGCCGAGGTGTTTTTGGTGCTTGCGAAAGGTATGAGCCTGACCTTACTAGAAAGCTTGAAACTGCGTTTAGCCATCAACTCGGGTCGGCTGGAATCTGACATGGTCCTCTCCCTGTCGTTTACAAGGTTCAAGCCGGAGAAGGACTCCAGGGTTAAGGTATGGGTACTACCGTAGTTTGTGTAATCTCAACGCGAATAGGATTGGATAGGAACTATATTGTCAAAAATTCGAATGCCAATTTAGTTTGCTTGAAATCTAAAAATTTCCTCATTCCGGATTTTGTCGTTACGATTTTCAATACTTCATTGAACATTTACATCCTAATTTTCGACACACCGAGCATTCGGGGTTTCAATTTTCGACTCTTTGAGATGTGGGCATTCTGATTTTTGACATTAGGACAGAAAATCTCGTCCGTACGGTATTGTAGGGTAATTCTCAGGCTGCATTCAAATTCGTGCTTTTCAGATCATCACCGCAACCACCGTTACGGGCGCCCTACTGAAACAAATCGTCGAAATTCTCCTCGAAAACGACGTATACCTGGGTATTCTTCACCTGAAGGTCAAGTCGGACGTCGCCTGGTGAGTGATGGAGCCGGAAACCTGCGGGAAAAACGGGAAAATCATAGGAAAACCTTTTTAGGGTCATGGACCGGTACTTGGATGCTGGCGGTAGGGACTATAAACCCTTTACCCCGTTCTGCGAGGGCATGCTGGACAAGTACGAGGAGTTGACGAAAAAATTCTGAAGCCTTTCATTAGAGATTTTGTCGATAAATAATTAAGATTTCAATACGATTTTCGGATACGCACAGAAGGGAACCAGCACAGATTCACAAACATTTGTAGCAGTTCGCCGCCGAAGCAATAGTTCTCAAAAACGGTCACTCCACTCCGGGTCGACCCCCCCGCCCGCCCGGTTCCCACACATCGGCAAACTAAAAACAAAACAGATAAGCGGCCGTCTGGCACCAAGTCGATGCTCTGGCTAACATTTGCAACCAAATTTTGGCGCCTCCTGATCGATTCGATAGGCGAGGTATATTTTGCAAAGATTAGTGCGGGGTAAAGTCACTACCCCGAAAAGTCACTACCCCGAAAAGTCACTACCCCGAAAAGTCACTACCCCGAAAAGTCACTAACCCGAAATAATTTGCATGATTTTCATAGGAAAATCGCATGAAAACTGGATTTTTCCGGGAAAAACGATTTCGGGGTAGTGACTTTTCGGGGTAGTGACTTTTCCGGGCAATGACTTTTCGGGGTAGTGACTTTTCGGGGTAGTGACTTTCGAGGGTAGTGACTTTCGGGGTAGTGGCTTTCGGGGTAGTGACTTTTCGGGGTAGTGACTTTTCGGGGTAATGACTTTTCGGGGTAGTGACTTTTCGGGGTAGTGACTTTCGAGGTAGTGACTTTCGGGGTAGTGGCTTTCGGGGTAGTGACTTTTCGGGGTAGTGACTTTTCGGGGTAATGACTTTTCGGGGTAGTGACTTTTCGGGGTAGTGACTTTCGAGGTAGTGACTTTCGGGGTAGTGGCTTTCGGGGTAGTGACTTTTCGGGGTAGTGACCGGACGCCGATTAGTGCGTTAAAGAAACTGGTTTTTATCCTGATTTAAAAAGCTCCCCATTTATCAAAAACCGGTCCACGCCATACCAGGGTCTGTTTCCTAAACGGTGAGGAGGGCCCCTCCCTGGGGGAAGAGCGCCTGTCCTTTGCCCAACTGCTTGGCCTGTTGGCTCATTAGTTTTGTGTCAGCTTGCCCGGCACAAGGCCCGGGTTCGACCCCCGGGCGTGGCAGAGTTTTTTGCTTTTTCGTCAAAAACTGGCAGTTGAATATTTCTTTAAGATAAACACAATAAGTAACGATTTCTCAAGTGGTTAAACGGCGCGAAAGTTTACTCCTTCTCCAAACTTGCTCTCGTTAGTTAAACGCCAAAATATACCACACCCCAAGCAGAATTAAATTTTTCCTCCCTATTACGATTCGATCCTCGGGCTACATAGCGAGTTCAATGTTGTTAATACACATTGTTCAATTTTTTTCAGGATGCCGTTAGAAATCGATGCTCAGTACTCGAAGGAAACCATCGAAGAATTCCTAGACGGTCTGAAGAAAGAAGATCTGGCCCGAATTCAAAACAAGATTCACCTGGTCTGCTTGCCGAGTGAAGATGAGATGGGGAGGTCAGCCAGAGCTCATCTCTTCAGAAATCAAAAAATCATACCTCACAAAATTAGGGTGGTTTAGACAGCTCTGGATCGTCGATGAGGGCCGACTTCCCGCATGGAACGATGACTACAAACCAGTGGAGCAGGCAGCCGAGCCCATCAGAAAGTGCCTTGAGGCTAAAGAGACAGTTAACAAAGTTTTTTAGCTTCTTGGAAAGGCAGCAAGCCGCCATGGATGATATCATCAAATACTATGAGGAAAATAAGGTAAGCGCTAAATCTTTCACCTCATGTCACTATTGCTTTCCAATAAAAAAATCACCCCGTCTAACTCGGGGCAGAAGTATCGGATCGTCACGATAGTGACACCATTTGGAAGCCCTTGAAACGTCGATTTTGCAACAATCTTCAAAACTTTGTTTTGGTTTAATCCCACAATTTCATAGCCAATCGAAAAATATTAAGGGACGACGTCTGCATCTGATTAACAGCCACTTCCGGCCATTTTGCTTAACCCCGAATAACCGCAAAATTTTACAAAATGGCTTGTAAAATAATGCATTGAAATAAAACCAAGGAGGGCTTTTGAATGATGTAACAGATCGAGTTAAGGGGTGCTTTATTGGGACACCCTTTAGGTCTCTCTCTCTCTCTCTCTCTCCCTCTCTCTCTCTGTCTCTTTCTATCCTACTCTCTCCCACGTTTCCCCTCTCTCGGCCACGTTTCTAAGCTTCTGAAAAATTTGTTGAACACCGTCTGTTTAGGGCAATTTGGCCGACATGCGAACAATGGCCGGGCAGATCAGGTTCGGCAAAAATGCGAGTAAGTCAAGTGTCGCTCTCATACGATTATTGGACCCAAATCGCGATCTTGATCATGTCATAAATTTTTAATTCTTCTTATTTAACTCTTGATAACATAAATTCAATTCTTTATCATGTCATAAATCAGAAATTTTGTCCTTTACCAGACTAACAAGGAGTGTCCTTTTGGTGTCATCGGCAAAACAATTCGAGACCCAGCTCAGTCGATAGAGAATTGAATTCTGAACAAGACTGTGTTGTTTATTTTTGCGGAATGGCTGCCCCTGATTTTATAACATTAAAAAACTGCCGGCGACGCCCATACATTGGTGCTTGGGAAGCGAGTTGTTAAGGTTTCGCGCTTGGTTTTTTAATTCTATAAAATCAGGGAAAGCCATTCCGCAAAAATGAACAACACAGCCTTGTTCAGAATTCAATTCTTGATCGAATGAGCTGGGTCTCGAATCGTTTTGCCGATGACACCAAAAGGACACTCCTTGTAAGCCGCCTCTTCAGATCAATCCAGCTGCAACCTCATCATCCACAGCAAAGACCTTTCGGACCGGGCGATCACGAAACAGCTGGCTGAGGTGTTTTTGGTGCTGGCAAAAGGCAAAGCGCACTCTATCTGTGTATCCTGATTTTAGCTATCAATTCCGGGCGCCTAGAATCCGAGATGGTCCTCTCGGTGTCGTTCACCAGATTTGTGCCGGAAAAGAACTCTCGGGTCAAGGTATCCTGGAGCTCTCCAGCGATGTCAAAATCGGAGATTTTCAGATTGTTTCCGAGAATACGGCAACTGGCCACCTACTGACGCAGGTCGTCGAAATTCTATTGGAAAACGGAGTCGACATCGACATCCTGCACGTAAAGGTCAAGTCCGATGTGGCCGTGTAAGTTGTAGCTGTGAGACTCGTCGAGCTAAACCTTGAGATTAAGCTTTAAATTAGCCGCTTCGTTTCCACCACTGCCTTCAAAAATATTTTTTTTCAGGATGATGGGCAAACACCTTGGCACAAGAAACTTCACGCCATTCACGCCGCTGTGCGCCGGCATGCTCGACGATTACAAGGCATTGGCGAAGACATTTTAGGTTTCCAGTTTTATGAGCTGCGCTGAATAAATAGTATGCGAAGACCATAAGGGGGTACACTACGATGTCTGCCAGGTTGGAGGGGGGCCCCTCGTACGGTAAATACTTGCTATGCCGATTTTCGCTGTGCCGATTTACAGTATGCCGATTATTGGTATGCCGAATTTTCGCTATGCCGAATTTCGCTATACCGAATTTTCACTATACCGAATTTTCGCTATACCGAATTTCGCTATGCCGAATTTTTGCTACTTTACTACTAATAGTCTCTACTAATATTAATAACTAAAATTGGCTGGGACTTTGCGGTGCAACAAAAAATCTGCTGCTCCGATGGGACCAACGATCTGCCCGAGTTTTTGGATATTTCTAGGCTAACTCTAACTTTCTAGGCCCATGATATTTGGAAAAATAGTAAAAAAATGGGGAACATACCGCTTATCAAATTTGGTATGGCGAAGATTCGGCATGGTGAAAATTCGCTATCGTGAAAGTCGGCATGGTCAAAATTCGGTATACCAAAAATTCGGCATAGCGAAAATTCGGCATAGCGGAAATCGGCACAGCGTCAATCGGCATAGCAAAATTCGGCATAGCGAATGGAACTCCCCTCGTACCTACCCTCTCTCGCTATCTATCTCTCTCGTCTCTCGCTATGTATCTCTCTCCCTCTCTTTATCGCTATCTCACGTCACTCTCTCTCTCTCTCTCTCTCTCTCTCACGTCTTTCTCTCTCTATCACGTCACTCTCTCCATCTCGCTCTCTCACAATCTCTTTCTCTCACTCGGTTTCAGCACTAAGTACAGCGTACAGTATTTCTGTTTGTGCAATTGTGTTTTTGCGTATTGTGATTAGTTTTGTAGGTCCTTTTTGTTCATTGGCCAAATAACGGTTGCTCCATTGCAGCTGATTACTTACAAGGAGACGTGTTTTGGTGTGAATGGAGTTCTGAGTGGAAACCAGGCCTATTTTGTGCAGAATTTTGCGCTGATTCCGAATATGTTTTCCATTTCAGCTAAATAGCTCGATTTCAAAAGTTACAGCAATTTTAAGATCATTTTAGCCCAAATTTTCCCCTCCTTAGGGACAATTATGTTGCTTTCCCCGGCCGTTTTTCCAAAAATAAATATCGTCACCGTATTCAGAACAATTTTCTCTATCGAATAAGCTATTTAACAAAAAAATTGTTGAAAATCGAAAAATCGACGATCGACTGCGATTTTTGTATGGGAAATGGTGAAAAACAGCCTATTTCTCACCCCTGTAAGCCATCGACGATCGGCAGTAGCGCACTAATCAAACATACCATTCGAATCAGAAAAAAAATTTCTACAAGATAGGCTACTTAAAATTAATGAGAACTTTATAACAAAAAAGTAGCACAGCATAGCATATGGCTACTCTGGGCCTAAAAATTATCTTATAATAGCTGTAACTTTTTAAATCGAGCTATTTAGCAAAATTGGAAAACAGTATCGGAATCAGCGCAAAATCCTGCACAGAATAGGCCTGGTTTCACTTACAACTCCATTCACACTAAAAAAACGTCTCCTTGTTAGACAAAAAATCATTTTCGAATAAACTACCTATTCGATAAAAAATTGATCCGATGCAACAAGTAGCAACCGGATTTTCTAGAAGGCAAAAGAACACTTTACGTGAATTACCCCCTTAATTGGTGCCGTTTGAAATGCCGACTTTCAACGGTCGGCGCCAGTGTGTCCCCCAGACATAACATAACCAACCTGATAACGATAACGATCCTGATAACGGAAACCCAAATTGCCAGCCACACACCAACAGCTACAACCTCTAGGTTCTGTTCGGGGGAGAAAAAACTGTGCGGGGGGATTTGATTAAGCAGAACTTCGATATTGTCGCTATTTTTCGCGATTTTTGCTACGCTATTCGGTAGAGCATCAAAAAATATACTGCAATTGTTTATTTTAGCTTAAAATATTGTAATCGAAAAAATTCGAGCAAACACAAAAATTACGTTTGAGACTAAAGATTGGCAAGCAAGTTTTCGACATTTTCGCTAGTTTATTGATATTTTGAAGACACAATTCGAAAAAGCATCAAAAATATACTAGGAGTTTTAATTTCATCGCAAAATCGCGTAATAAAAAATAGTTATAGGAAAAACAGGGTTTAAACATAGTCTTTATATGTGAACGTAGAATCGATGGCTAATTTTCGACATTTTCTATATTTTTACAAAATTTCTTAGATTACATTCGAAAGGGCGTCAAAAGTTATACAAAGAGTTTTAATTACAATTCAGAATAACGTATTATAGAATAGTTAGGGCAAAAAAGTAGCTTACCGCACCCAACTCCCCCCCGCACACAGTTTTCCCCCGCTCGAAATAGAACAGTAGACTATTATGTTGATTATGTATTGAAAATGACTAGTTTCTCTTGAGTTTCGGTGGCGAATGCTCCGACCATTTGTTGATTTTATCTGAAAATTGAAAAGCGCTACCTTGCTCAAAATCGTTTTCCTGACTTGGCTAGCTAGGGCTGCCTAAAGGTTATGATGTCACTAAGAAAACTTCTTGCGAAAGCATGAAGGCTTTGCCTTTATCAGCCCGCCCCCCAGTGGGTGGCGCTTTCGCTAGATGCTATTTTTGGCACGAGATTCCATAAGAATTTCTTCGGAAAAATGATTGTGTTGTGGTTTTTGGTTTTTGAGGATTCGCGGGGGGGAGGAACCAATTTTTTCCTGGCGGTCCCGGTTGACATGGTAATCAAATATGAATTGTTTTTACATTGTTGTTAATAAGTTTTAACTATATTTAAAGCAGTAAAACTTTCAAAAAACGACTTAGAAAAATGTTTGAAAAGGTCGAAAATTTTGGTCATTTTGGGTCTCTTCCCCCCCGGATCCTAAAGGTTCTATAGCTACCTAAAATTTAATTTTTTGACTAAAATTTAGGTAGTTTTTATGCTTAGTAATAGGTAAAAACCATTTCGAAACGCATAGGCTATTTATAAAAAAACACGCTTGTGCCGAAAAAAATTAGAATATCTGAAGACCAAAATGTCGAAATTTACGCAGATTTCGCTAATATTTGCGAGGTTCTCAAAAATAGCAATCTTCGAAAAAGATATGGTTAGAAAAAGGCTGCCTCTTAAAGTGTAGAATATTTTTTTCAGGATGATGTTAAGCGTCGAAGACCAATTTTCGAAAGAGACTGTTGCAGAATTTTTAAGCTATCTGACAATGGAAGACCTGGCAAAAATCAAAGATAAAGTTGAACTCATCTGTTTGTCAACCCAGGATGAGATGGCGAGGTAGGTAGAAAATCAATTTTTGGTTCTGTCGAAGAATTGAGGACAACACCACATAACATTTAATAATGTCACTTAACATAAAAGAGTATATGTAATGCCTTTAATATATTAAGAAAACTCTCGATAAGAGACGGCAGGCGACTTTCCGCGTGGAAGGACCACTTCAAACCCCTGGAGCAAGAGGCCGAGCCGATCAAAAAGTGTTTAGACGCTTGAAGTCCAATTTTTAAAGATTTTTAGTTTTCTAAAAAATAAACTCGCCGCCGCGGGTGAGATCATCAAGTACTACGAGGCAAATATGGTAAGTAAACGTGCTCGAAAACCAAACATCGTCAGCTATTTTCAGGACAGCTTGGAGGATATGCGCACGGTGGAAGGGCAAAAGAGGTTCGGCGCGAAGGCGAGTAAGTAATATCCTACCCTGTATAATTTTGGGGTGTATCTCTGTGTGTGTGTGGATGTCACCTTCAAGGCTTGATTTGAGGGCCTTCCCGTGCATCGAATGCCCTAATTCTTCGTTACTGGGGGGAACCGACCCTCCCCTTTCCGAGTTCCGAGTTTTCCTTTTTCAGAATTTCGAAAAAAATACAAGTTTACAGAGTTAGAGCCGGTTTTATTCATTTTTGGGAGTTCAGGAGGTCTAATTTGCACAATGTGCAAACAAAATACAAATTTCCTCATTCTTGCAATTTGGACGCGGGCGTGTGTTATCGTTGGGGGAAGGGGGTCCGAAGCACCCGAGCTATCGGAAAGTCTCGGTCGCGAGGTCTTATCTTTATGATCTCTGTTTTTGCTGTTTTTTTTTGTTTCAAAGGCAGCATTATACTCTTACTAATCAGACCAAGGCGAACAGTTTTTTTTAATTTGACTGCCTTGTGGCTCGTAAGACAGCAGAGAGACTGAAGTTTTGCACTTTTGCTTTTAGGATTCGGGACACCCCTGAAAATTTTTATTGCAGAGCAGACAAGCTGCAGCCTCATCTTCCACTGCACGAATGCCGTCGACGCGGCGATTGCGCCAAACTTGGCGGAGATGTTTTTGGTGCTCGCCAAAGGTAGATGATCACAATTATGTTGTTCAACCCTTGGCTGTTTAAGCCCTCAACTCGGGCCGGCTAGAGTCGGAGCTAACCCTGTCGCTGTCGTTTAGACGTTTCTCGCCGGAGCAGGACTCTAGAATCAAGGTAGAATTTTTCAGCACTAAATATCAGTGATTCCCCGCGACATTGTTAGATCTTTACCGAGACGACAGTAACGGGGGACTTGCTGCGCCAGATTTACGAGATACTCGGCGAAAATCGCGTCGCAAGGGATGTTTTTCACGTGAAGGTCGTATCGGAGGTTTCCGTGTAAGTGTTGGTTGATAAAATAATAAATTAAAAACACCAATAAACTCAACACGCATATGTAGGATTCTGATGTCAGTTGCACCACCGTTTGGCTGGGGGTTTGCAACGATCTGCATATCCATATTCTTAGGGAAGCGCGCGCTATCACAAGCAATTTTCTAAATTTAAACGCTTTTCGGGCTCGCGTAAGAGAAAATTTTCTTTAAACTTTATGCAGCGTATGTTAATTTTATGCCAGTGAGAATTTTATTGTTTTGAAAATAACTTTTCATCCCTATGTTTTTCGCATTTTTCGCATTATCGCGCTTTAGAAATCTCTAGCAACTTAATGGCAGAGATTTTAACGCTTTTTCTAGTAAAACATAATTATATTTAACTAGAAAACAAATCTAAAAAATCTTTCAAACATTCTAAAGTCGAAATTTGGATCGAAAACCAAACTTTCGAGGTATCGATCTATTTTTAGATAAAAATTCGCAAAAGCTGTACGTAGTAAAAAAAGCTTAGAAAGTTTAAGAGCCTTAGGAAAAAAGTTGATGAGTTGCGTTAAGATGGTAGCATGTTTTTCGCAGGAATGGCTTGGCCTTATATTTCTGGCAATTTGCGAATTATAGTGTTTTCACAGAGAAATCGCGCAAATCGAAAGAGTCAGGGCTACTCTCCTCCCTCTGCGGCCGCTGGCAATTTGCCGGAAATCTAAGGTCTCTCCCAAAAGGGGTTTTATTTCACACTTCCGCGCCCCTTTAGGCAAATGTCTAAATCCGTTATTCACATTCTCAAAACGTATGTTTAGTGTGATGCGCAGATACTTTGATCCATGGATCGACTATCAGCCCTTTGAACCACTCCACGAGGGAATGCTGCACGAGTACGAGGAATTGGCCAACGAATTTGAAGCTTCCAATTATGATCTCTGAGACATAGGGACTCAACCTTGTAATGATTGGAAAGTATTCTAATGGCAGCGCCGGGAAAACAATAATTTGGCTGTGAAAATTTGCAGAAAGAGCTGTGCTTTGCAAATATTTTTATTTTGTGTTGTGCCTGCGTTTTCTGGGTCGAATAAATTGATGCTCGATGTTTGCTATTTTGCACGTTGATTGACCCTGATACATCAGCGGGCGCGCGTCTAGACTTCTAATGAAAAAACTAGACAAATTTTGAACATTTTCTGATGGATTATTGTCCTCAAAATTTGCGATTCTTCAGTGAGAACTTGAAGCTACAGTAGATGAGATTTCGAAGAGCTGCATTCTAAAGATCCGATTTTTTTTGTTCTTTTTGAATTTGCTCTACCGTTTCCGGATTTCGGCCCAGCAGGAGCAGCCGAGATATCGCAGAGCGCGCGTTCGTAATGCCTAAATTAAGAGATAGGTTTCTGCCGCACTTTAAGTGAAGGTCCATACCTTAACTAAGAATGTACAAATTACAGCATCTGTAATCGGGAATAAGCAGTTCAAAATTGGCATTACCGGGACGATGAAGCCGATACCTAAAATGCAAAAGAAGGCTTGTATCGACGAGTAAATGTCAGGTAAGCAAGCAATTTAGATCTAAAGATATTTCCATCACGAGGTCGGAAATCCAAATTAAAGTTTTTTGTCAGGTTTTGAATTCTTTCAAGCCGCAAAGCCATACACCACCTACCTAACGTGCCCGAAAATTGGCACAGCGTGAAGGGGATAATTTCCGTGCAAGTCGAAGCAATTAGAGTGGTTAGCAATATGGTAATTAATTGATTTTGAATAGCGCGAGTTGCAGCTGAACACATTGACTGCTTTACGGCGTGGTGACTAAACGAAAACAGATGTTGAAACGGCTTTAAAGCGCTAGGAAGCTATAAAATTCAAGTTATGCTAAAGCTTACAGTTTGTACGTTAAGACAACCCCAAAAATTGAAGCTGCATATGAGATTCCGGTGACATATCCAACAGCGAGAATATCAACCCAGCGCAGTCCGTGAGTTTCGTCCTTTAAAATTGATGATACAGAGGAGCAAGAGAGCGAGAGAGTGGGAGAGAGAGAAATACACAGAGCGGGAGAGAGCGCGAGAGAGAGTGAGAACGAGCGGCAGCGGTGGCGTACCCAATATTGAGGACTTGCAAACGAAGCTGGTGCTAGTTCGATCCCGAATATTTGCTTGATAGTTTCTCTTCGTCCACCTAGAGCTTCCAAGGATTGCTAAATGTTGACTTTAATAGCTCTTTCGAAAATCTGATCGCCTTCACGCTCTTTCTATTTTTTTTATTGACTTACATCGAGTATAAAAATGCATCCCAGCGTCCATATGCCAACAAAATACACAAAAACAGCAACAATCAGGAAGTCGAGGCCTCTTGGATGCCCAAAAAGGAGTCGGCCTTTGCTAAATTTAGTATGACTTTGTCAAAAAGTCGAAATGTCTGATCACCAGGTGAGAAAACCGGGTTTAACTTACCCCGTAATCGTACAGTATCGGTAAAGGGTATGGATAGCGCTGAGCGCGATTCCGGACGCCATCGTCGAATTAAAGACGATGGTCGCCCAGAAAGAAGCTGTGGGACCGAACTTCATATAGAAATTTAGGCTGAAGATGGTATAGCCCGTTTCATCAGCGACGAAGACCTGAAAGTAAAACATATAAGCTTGAGCTCTGGCTCTCTCTCTGTCCCGCTCTCTCGGTCTCTCGGTCTCTCTCGCTCTTTGCCTCTCTCTCTCGCTTTCCCTTGCTCCCTTTCGCTCTCTTTATCTCTATCTATCTCGCACTCTCTCTCGCTCTCTCTCTCTCGCTCTCTCTCACTCTCTCGCTCTCTCTCTGGCTCTGGCTCTCGCTCTCGCTCTCTCTCTCGCTCTCTCATCTCTCTCTCTCGCCCTCTCTCTGTCTCTCTATCTCGCTCTCTCTCTCTCTCTCTCTCTCTTTCTCTCTCTCTTTCTCGAACTCACCGGCCCAACAATAATATTACACAATGCATAATGTATATTATATAAAACGCGGCAGATCAAGAAATTAGCATAATTTGTGCGGAATTTCTGTTCCGTCAAGATACACAAAAGCAAAAATAAACTACAAGATATACTAAGAAGCGATAGCCCCGGTAATAACCACCAAAATATGCTTGTAATGTCCATTCCGCTCCAAATGACGCCGACTTGGGATTGTAAACGGCCCGGAAGCGGGGAGGGGCGTTCCCCGGACCAATTTTCGTAATAGCTAGTTACTGGTGTTCTTTTTTCACAAATAAATGCCACGAAGATAAATGTATACAAAAATACGAAAGATCAACGTGGTCCCAGCAATTAGTGCCATTTGCAGATTGTAGACATAGCGTTTTTGGTAGGAAAACATCATGTGCAGGGTGTCCCAATAAAAAACCCGCTCCCCCCCATAACCCAACCGAAAAGTATCGGATCGGAACGATAGTTACACCATTGGAAAGCACCTGAAACGGCGAATTTGCAACACTCTTCAAAATCATGTTTTTATGAAACCCGCCAATTTACAACGCATTTAAAAACATCTAGGAATGGCCTATGCGTCTAATTAAAGGGCACGTTCACAGACCTTTTTTGGAAAAAAAACAAAGATGGTCGCCGCGGCCGGGGGTCGAACCCTGGCCCCCCGCTCGGGAGGCGCGGATGGATACCAGTCAGCCACAGCTACAACCTGGCTAGGGGTCGAGGGGCGCCCCACGGCACAAAGGAGGGGAAGGCCTGTCACAGCACGGGCAGGCAGTGCGCGCGGTCCCTACGTCCATAGGGCGTATACGTTGGGAAGAGTATACGGCCCCTCTTTGAACGTGCGCTTTAACGGCCACTTCCGGTCATTTTGCATGGAGCAGTTTAGGCAAAATTGGCGCGCATTCAACCACGAAAAACCGCGAATTTTTACAAAGTAGAAATTTAAATTCAAGAGATTTAAATAAAAGCAGGGTTTTGAAGATTGTTGCAAACTCGCCGTTTTAAGGGATTTCGAATGGTGTAACCATCGTTCCGACAAACAAATAACAACCATACAGACCATACAACAAAGAAATCTAGAAAAACGCGGGTGTCCCAAGAAAATATACTCCATTTACTGTCATTATATGGTGCCCCAGCTATCCGCTTTATTCGTTTGTCAGCAGCAATTTTGAGACAGACTTCAAGAAGACAGGTGAAAAGTGCTCACGCCAGGTTTTCGGCCGTGTCTCCAGCATGTTTGTGCAACCAGCACCTGGTAATTCAAATGCTAGAATACACTACAATACGCTGGTTTTATCATGCGTTAAGTTGGTTTGCAATGTTGCTAGAATTACTTTGGATATTCGTGCTAACCTATCGCTCCCCGCCCGAGATGAAGTTATACAAATGGGTGCTCGTGAAATTAGCTGTATGTTTTGAGACGAAAATTTTAATATTAAAATTAACTAGGTTTGTCTTTTTAGTGGCTCGAATTTATCTTCGCGACATTACTCGGCCTTTTCTTGTTTCCTGATTTATTATTCCCAGCGCCGTGCGCGGCGGTTTTTGGACTTGCCGGGTACCTCGGCTATCATGCTAGTATACATACGGTAAGCAGTTTTCAGTCCCTTTTCTCTCTCTCTCTCACTCACTCACTCTCTTTCTCTCGTCTCAGTCTCTCACTATCTCTCGCTCTCTCTCACTCTCTCTCACTCTCTCTCGCTCGCTCTCTCTTTCTCTCTCTCTCTCTCTCTCTCTCTCTCTCTCTCTTTCTCTCTCGCTATCTATTTCCAGCTCTTCGCCGTTTTCTTCAGCGCCTGGGCAACGTTTATGAGCGTCAACGATTGTCTGCATGTGCGCAACTTTTTTATTCACGAAAATGACAGGATGATCAAGATGGTTTTCACATGGTACCTTTTACTTGTAGTTTGTAGCTTCACTGACAAATGAACGAAAAGGCTCAGATTTCAGGTACCTCGGACCGATAGCTGCCTCTCTCGGGCCTGTGCTAACGGGTGTTCCACTAGGGTTTGTCTATTACAAGGGACTGATGGATCAGGAGGTAGCTTCCGGAACTCGATACCTATTTAATGGATCTCCAGGTATTGTTCGCCCAAATACGGGCTGCTGGCGACTATAAATACGTGGAATGGTATATCCAGAATAATATTGTGCTCATCGGGTTTGATATGCACAGCATATGGGCGGCGTTGTTAGGACTGGTGCGTAGTAGGAAACCGTACTTTGCGTGCGTAGTACTGTACTGTACTACACCACTACAGTACTCAACTAATACTAATCCTGTTCAGTTCATCATCGGTGGTCTCATCGTCTGCTACGCGGTCAATATGATTTCCGCTCTCGTGATGCTGCAAAAATTGAGGGGTATGAGGAGTCACATGTCGGCGCAAACGTATAAAGCACATCAGAGTATCATCCGGATGCTGATAGTTCAGGTAAGCTTTTGATTATTTGCGTTGCTTGTTGCATAGCGTACAGCATTTCTTATTGAGTTTCGTCCGCTGTAGCGCGTTGTATTTCGTATTCTCCAACTTCTGGCGCACCATGTCAAAATGTAGGGTACAATCCCCGGTTTAGAATATCTACCCAGCCATCGTCCTGGTCATCCCCTGCTCCGTGTGCGTCTACGGCTTCATAGCTGAGGACTGGAATCTCGTCGGCTCTAATTTATATAAACACTGGGCCCTCGTTGGGTTCTACTCTTTTCCGGTAAGTAATCAATCGATATGTAGTAATTTCGCTTCCAGATTATCTCCTTCGCGTGCTCAATTTTCTATATGAAACCCTATCGGGAGTATCTGTTTTCGCTTTTCCGGAAGAAACAGCCGGAAACTCGGGTGGTCAGCGTCAGTGCTGGTGACGATGCACCAACGGCTGCTTCATCTTCTACTTTGGCGAGGATAGCTAGGAGAACTGAAGTTTCTTAATAAACATTTGTTTCTAAGTCATCCAGCAGAGAGCGAGAAAGAGAGAGAGAGAGAGACAGAGAGAGAGAGAGAGAGAGATAGAGTGAGAGAGAGAAAGAGGGGAGATAGCGAGGGAGAGTAAGATAGAGAGAGAGCGAGAAAGAGAGAGAGGTGAGTTCGGAATTCCCTAAAATGACACATCATTTCCTTGGCGCCCCTCTTCTATCGGCTTCGAACGCAAATCCGCATATTTTCCCTTCGCAAGCTGTTGATAAGAACGCAGATGGTGTCCAAGGCGCGGAATGTGGCTGATTTATTTTTGTTTAGACCACCTTTCTGCATTACCTTGTCTTCTTTAACATCTGCAAATTAAGGTGCAGATCATGCCCAGTTTTTAGAATTTTATGATGCTACGTATCTTTTTATTTCTGCTATTAATAAATTTAAACTTTTGCGATCCGCTTCCTGAAAAATGCCGAACGTGTAAGTTTTTCTGACCAAAAAAGAGCATACATTATATTTTTGCGAAAGCATTATTATAGTAGCTACAAATGTTGATAAATCAAAATGTCCGCGACCGTATTTTCCCTATTTCTTTATAATGGCTGAAGGTGTCGATGCGCAGTAAGAATTTTTGGCCTTTTAGAATGCTTACAATTTAGGGATCTTCTGAGATTCACACAAAATATGGCATTGAGTTGTGCGGAGGAAGAGGACGTTACTGAATCACATAGGTTTTTTATGGAATTCCATAGTCAATTGGCTTTTTGCTTTAGTTACGTGTACTTTGCGCAGAAACTGGACGACTTTTCGGGTAATTAATTTTTCGCGAAAGAGAGGGAGGCAGAGCAAGACGGGGAGCGAGTGAGGACCAGAGAGAAATCGAGAGATAGCGAGTGAGAGAGGGCGCGAGAGAGCGAGAAAGAGAGAGAAGAGAGAGAGATTTTAGTTCCATATATTTTAGTCCCAGAACAAGAAAACCTTGAAGGCTTACTATTCGAAGGAAATGACACCAATATTTTCCGGACGCTGGACGCAACCATGTCAGCTTGAAAGTAATTATAATTTTCTGAGGTTTAGAGTAAAAAATACAAGCGACGCCATCGATTTGGTCAGTGTATATTTTGAACTCTATGATAAAGCGGATGTCCGATTACAAGCAGCCGCAATTTTCATTTTGGGAAGGACGGAGATTGAATGTAGGTGATCTACACACTTTGGCTAGACTTTGCTTTACCCTCCACCCCCAGCCGGAAGTTTCCAAATCTTTTTCGCTATAACTTTTTATACTACGTTATTTTACGTCCAATTAAAACATATTTTTGTTGCCCTAGCGAATGGCATAGCCAAAATCTATACAAAATAGCGGAAACGTCGAAAAATTTTTGTAACTTCTGGCTGGGGGGAGGGGTAGAGTCTAAAGTCTAGCTGTTCATAAGCGACTCGTTCAGCTGGGACCTTCAACGCCAATTTCTGGGACCAAGTTATGCCGAATTTCCGCAGCCGAGACGCGATTGTTCGCTTGATCCTACTTCCGGTTTTCAATTTTTTGCGGATTTTTAATTAGCTTTGTTTCTAGGGTTCTGAAGCACTACCAGATACAGATCTTGCGATTTATGAAGAATTGGCTACCAACTCGACAGGATTTTTTGATTTTGAGGAATGGGTAAGTCTGAAAGATAAGAGTGAGGGACAGAGAGAGAGAGAGAGAGAGAGAGAGAGAGAGAGAGAGAGAGAGAGTGAGATATACAGTGCGTGATGAAGATGTGAACAAAGTTTTAAGCAAAACAACACTATCCCTTCTGTGAGAGCTACTGCGATAAACTATGGAATGCGTACGCCGTTGGTACTTGCCGAAAATTGTAAAACACGTAAGCCGAGCACTTAATACAAATATAATTGCAAATAAAATACTTTTAGTGAGCACCACGGTGGACAAATCCAACTGTCCGCAACGCTACTTTCCTTTCCTAATTCCGATTTTTGCAACGTTGAATCGGAATGAAATAAATAGGTGTACTCATGGTCCTAAAAATGTAATTTTAATTGTTGTAGGCACTTGAATATCTCACAAGCTATTTTGCATACCTGCTACATGACCGAGAGAACGGATAATTCGCATAGGTATTGATTTCCTTTCAACTGCTGATAACCCAGTTTTTCTAGCGTCTACACCTTTCCAGAGCACGAATACAGTACGTTCATATCTATCTTAAATTCAGCTTTTTTAACCAAGAACTTAAATATCAATTTTTAGGCCGTTTCAACCTCTCCTACCACGACTTTGGCGAGATTTATAGTACGGAGCCATACTATGCTTATATAGCGTTGGGGAAAGAGTACGTGATTTGACCAAAACCAGAAGAAAACGCTGAACTCAGTATAAATACCGTAGGCGAACTGCAAAGCCTGTTCCTGCAGTACTTCAACATTTTCGAAGAAGTGCACGAATTTCGAGAAATTCAGCCTGTCGTTATCATCATGTTCGACATGGTCGATCAGCAGTGTGAGTTTTAAAGAATTCTACATCAAACGTCTCAAAAGGGAATTACGGTCATTTTTCCTGAAAGTCATTTTTCCTAAAAATCATTTTTCCTAAAAGTCATTTTCAGTCAGAATCCCTGCTAGCTTGCCTCACTTTGGTTCTCTGAATAAGCATCCTCCTTACAGTAACCTACGAGCTGAACGGAATCCACGCGTTCTGGGGTACGTTGATGAGCCATTTAGTCTCGACTGACGTTCTTCTACGCATCGTTTATACTGTGGTTCGTTGAAAGTACCTAGTTGGAACAGTTTTTAGAGCCAAACCCTACCCGCGGCCACTGTAGACGCCTTGGAAAAGGTGAAAGCAGACTACCCGGGATATTTTGATTACGTAAGCGTTTGTGCTGCTCTCACTCTCTCTCCCTCTTTCTCTCTTTCTCTCTTTCACTCTCTCTCCCTCTGCCTCTCTCTTTCTCTCTTTCGCTCTTTCTCACCCTCAGTCTCCAAAAACGCTGACGAATTTCTTTTAGGAAGTCAATCGTATGGATGACCCTTTCCTGACCGCAGCGAAATACGGAATGTGTAGCATTGTGTAGCCAATTTGATAACTTTTGCATAAATGTTCATCAAAATCATTTATTTTTGCACCACGAGCACAAATATCAGATGCGCCGTCACCGGGTAGAGATCAGAGAAAGGGGTTTACACGTATTCGAGACGGTATGGAATGCACGTTTTGGATCCTGCACCAGATTTTCGCATTTATCGACTGACTCGCGGCATCAGATTCATCCGCACGTGTTCCTTCGAATCGTCCCCCTGAAGAAGCTTCGTTATTTTGAGGTTTTTCGCGTGTTTTTCCGTAGCTCCATTAGGCTACTTGTAAGGCCACGCAATAGAACGCAGATTAACCTGGCCTGACTCAAGCTGACTTGCTGTCTGGACCTGATGAAGCAAATCTGCAAATATGCAGCAACGCAAAATTACGCTAGCAACGTTTTGCAATATTACGCAATGCAAGCTAGCTTTACTTGATGTAACGCGGCGCTACGTATAGCAATGCTTCGCCACGCTACGCTACGGTAATACTACGCACTACTAACTACGGAGGCAGAGTTACGCTGTGCTAACATGTCACTAAAGATGCTTGACGCAGCCTTATGCAGCACTGCGTAGCGCAACGATACCCTACAGAATGCGAGTACCAACTGCAGTACGTTACGCAACGCTACGCGACGCTACGCAACGCTACGCAACGCTACGCAACGCTACGCAACGCTACGCAACGCTACGCAACGCTAAGCAAAGCTACGCAACGCAACGCAACGCTACGCAACGCTACGCAGCGCAACGCGACGAGATGCCACTCCAAGCCACGAAACGGTACGCAACGCCACGCTACGGTACGCTACGCATGGCTACGCAATGCAAGGTTCTATATGAAGCTACGTCACGCTATGCAACCTCGTGAGAATTTTGGGTTTCGATGTCGTCATCCCTTTAACCCCATGCTCCTCACCTTGATGCTATCCGCGAGAGATCTCGTGCGGCTTCTTGGGGTGGCTGGGGCCAGCTGTCCAGCTGCGCTGATACTTCCCCTTTCAGTGCAGGGTGATATCCCCTCAGAAGGACACGACGACACCTGAATATACCTATTTAAACGATTAAAAGCGTTTGAAATGGAGCGCCAAAAAAGCCAAGCCAAGCAAATGATGGCACCCAGGAAATGTGAGATTTTGAAAAGTGATTTTCAGGTATTAGTTTTTCGGAAAGTTAGTGCTCCCTTTCAAGAGATTTGTAAAGAAGTGGACCCAAAAGCTTAGAAGTAAATTTTTGAAAGTTATTTGTTTGGAAAAGTTAGTGCTCCCATTTTAAGAATTGGGAGTTCGTGGAAGTGTACCCGAAAAAAGTCTTGCAACCCAAAAATAATGCAAAATATGCAAAATTTAAAACTTTGCATTCCGCACCGATACGGCGAATAGTTCGGTCTCGGTGTCAATGGACCGGAAGCGAGCTTTGAACCTGAAGAAAAGCGCTTTTGATAACGAATTCTGAGGCGCTGAATTGGCCGAAAACACATTGAGGAATTGAATTGGTTAGTAGGGATAATTTTACTTGCTAAATCCGACAGGTTGTCTACGAGAGCAGGCTAGCAAATATAATTTAGCAATTGATCCATCGGTCTCAGCGCAATTTGGCCCTAAGTTTTCAAAGTCAAACTGAATTTAACCCTTTCCTAAAAATTATGGCGGTTTTACGTAGTAGCAGGACAGTTTGGCGAAATGCAAGAACTCCGCAAGTCCCTCTAAAGAGTTAGTGACAGTAAGCTTTCGGTTCTCCCTTTCTCTATCTCTCCCTCTCTCTCTTTCTCTCTCTTTCTCTCTCGCCCTCTCTCTCTCTCCCACTCTCTCTCACTCTCTCTCTCTGGCTCTCTCGCTTCTCTCCAAATTACAGATTACCCCAAAGCTGACAGCGCTAAAGCTATCATCTAGCCATAGCATTCCATAAGCCATTGCAAGGAAAGTTGTAAGTGCGGACTTGAGGAGAAGCGAAGGTTCAACGTGCGAGTGTAGGCCGGTCGTGGCAAGGGACCGCTCCGGCTGGGTCGTTGACGATACCGCGTAGAAGGGACGGCGGAGGGAGGACATCCGAAGATCTCGGAATTGCCGTGTGAACAGGAAGTAGAGCTGAAATTATGGGGTTTCGGTTCGTGCTCAGCTTTGGCTTGTCACTATCCCTCTCACTCGCTCTCTCGCTCTCTCTCCCCTTTCTCTCCCTCTCTCTCTCTCTCTCTCTCTCTCTCTCGCTGTCTCCCTCTCTCTCCCTCTCTCTCCTCTCTTTCGCTTACCAGTGGATTGCAAGCCGAGTTGAAGTTGAAGAGGATGTTGATCAAGTCCTTTACGAAGATGCTCCAGTCGCCGGAAAGTTCGTATTGCCTCAGGTCCATCCACCGGAAGACCAGGCCACCTATAAAAGACGATGGATTTCGCCATGAGTACAAACTACAAATTCCGAGGATTAAATCAAAAACGCTAAATTTAGATGAAATCATCCGCTACCCAAAAATGGACGCCTTGCAAATCTTGAGCCCGATCTAGAAATTTTTTAGTCGGCCGGATTTGGAACTTCCGGTGCGGAAACTGGGGTGATTTGCAAGGATTTATGGCTCCATTTCCATAGTACAGATGTGTTTACTCGTACTTACCGGTATGGCAGATGAAGAAAAACAGGACGATGGAGATGATGAGCGTCACCGCTCGCCGTTCTTGCGCCATGCGACTCTAAAACACAAGGATGTGTAACAGAGGAAAGCAAGGAAAAAAAGGAGAGAGAGAGAGGAAGAGAGAGAGAGAGAGAGAGAGAGAGAGAGAGAGAGAGATAGAGAGCGTGATAGAGAGTGAGAGACCCTGAGGGAGGAACAGAAAATGAGAGAGAGAGAGAGAGAGAGAGAGAGAGAGAGAGAGAGAGGGAAAGAGAGAGAGAGGCAGAGAGAGAGAGAGAGAGAGAGAGAGAGAGAGGAGAGAGAGATAAAAACACACCTTATGGTCAGAAGGCACTGGCCTCCTTGCGATCGTCGTCAAGATCCGGAAATTCAGAATCGTCAACAGAAGCAGCGGAATTATGTAGACCAGGATAGGATAGAGCAGCTTGTCCATCTAAAAATTTTGTTATTTAATGCTTATATGTCTCACCATCTGCCGGTACGCCATATACTTGGCCAGTGTCGAAGGTCTGTGAGCAAGAAATAGGGACAATGCGCTCTCGCGGAGCTGCGGGTCGACGATGTCGTCTTTGCGTATGAAGAACCTAAAATTATACTTGATTTTACGCATCAAGGGCGAGACAAATTCTTCAGGTAGCTTTTTCTTTGCTAGCTTTTTCTGGTTGAAAAGCTTATTTTTTCATGGCTTTTTGAGCGTCACTTTTTTTGCGGATTTTTGATAAGATATGACTAGAGTATTCATGCTCGTTTACCTCTACCAAACGTGCCCGATATTACTATTATTTGGCCGCTTACCAGCTATACTCGAACCATTTGCTTCCGTTAAACACCAGTGCCATGATGATGATGCAAATTAGGGGCAGGAATGGACGCGCCGGGTGCCCAGTGTTACCGAGAGGGTTGTGGATCGCCTAAAAATGTACCTATAGCTTTTTATAGGCCCTTATTCTGCTTTTTTAGCTACCGAGTTTGCGCGCTTTTGAGCCCGTGAGTGCTTATTTAAATTTTTCTGAGATTATTAGGCTCTTAAAGATTATCTAAAACCTCTTTGGCTTTTGCCTTGTCCCTTTAATGCCTAACCGTTCCCGTGCCAGTTCTCTCAAAAGGCTTAAAGTAAATTTTTCAATTTCCCGTGCAAAGTAAAGGGGGGACGGGTCAATCCGGTGCGACGTGTCTCCCCCGAAATTACTTGAATTTGGTGAGGTTGTGTGCCAAACGGGTGTCATGTCCGAAATGTGCCCAAAAGGGCACAACTTGGTGAAAGTGTTGATAGACTGGGATGCGACCTTTGAAGTAAAGAGAGAGCGAGAGAGAGAACGAGGGAGAGAGTGAGAGAGCAGGGAGCGATAAGATAGAAAGAGCCAGAGCGAAAGGAGAGAGAGAGAGTGAGAGAGAGAGAGAAAGAGAGAGAGAAAGAGAGACGCGATAGTTTTCTGAAAAATACCTTACCCGATGCCTTTGTATCGTAATGTAGCACATTGTCCAGATGCTGGCCGAGTTTGAGGCGAGCAGTAGTGGGGATAGGAGCCCGGTGGACAAGTACGCGACTTGTCCAAGAACGCCCAGCATGGCTGACTAAAATATGAATTTAGATATTGTCAGCCAATAAGAGTTACCTCTGAATAGTCATGGATGGCCGGGATGAACAGTACGAAAAGTGATAGTGTCAATTGGAAGAGATCGCAAAGTGACAGGGTGATGAGGGAGGGTACCTGAAAATTAGCTTTAGAGTACTTTTTAACACTTTAAAATGCACGAACCGACTTTTCCTTTGGATAGGTTCCGACCGCTACGTTACGCGCCAAAATTCGTGCGTAGGCGCGTTTGAATTTATTGTATTTGCGACCTTAAATACCTTAAAACGACGTAAGAATGGGATGACAAGCGCCATTTGGAGCGCAAAGTAGCTTTACAGACTTACTCTAAGGAAAGGCTCGACTTCGCTGATATTTGTTGATTTTGATGGTGACGATTTTAATTTTGGCTGATTTAACATGATAATTGTGCGCATGTTTAACCGATTACGGCATCAAAATGCCGGCTTTAAACACTTACAAGTGGATGGTGCCTTGCTGTGCGGAATACCGCCAAACACAACGAGTTGAGCAGCACTCCGACGATGCAGATGGTAGGTAAAAGGTAGATATCGGTCAGGCAGCCGACCAAGCGCCAATCTGAGTGCCCGTGGCACATCGTAGAGTCAGCAAACGGAGCTATAAGACCAAGGAATTACAGAATTTTCGGAAATACGGCATAAATGGAAAAGATGCGGTAAAAACTCGTTAAAAATTGCAATTACAGAAACTGAGACACGTTATCGTAGTCACCAAATCATAGATTTCTTCAAAATGCGTTGAACAATTGCCAGGTTACCGTACCAAGAACGAAAAGCATATACCAGACAGCCAGGATCAAAAAATGCCGACAAATTCGCGATTTACAGAAAATCATAAAACTCAGCAGCCGGTCTAACTTGTTTGGTTCTCCTTGAAACGAGCACGAGACCAGTGTGTAATACGATTATAACGAAACCGGAAGCGGTTTCCGGGGCCGGAGAGCGGGATTTGATGGTCGCGACCTCCTAATGGACCCGCCCATATTTGATGGTCTTGAAAATATTCAAATAAGACATTTATCTCTCGGTCCAAAACCCCCCAATGGTCTCTCTGGCCTTCCCTAGAGCCGCTGCTGGAAATGGGCTCCTGGGAAAAGCTTGGCGATGCCTAAAATATTCGTGGGCCTCTTGGGTCGAAAAACTGGAGGACGGGAGTAGGGATGTTCGAAAAATATGCAAGAAAAATAAAGATACAGAGAGATATAGCGAGAGAGCAGGAGAGAGGGAGAGAGCGAGCGGGAGAGAGAGGGAGAGAAAGAGAGCAAGAGAGAGCGCGAGAGAGAGATTAGAGAAAACCTGGCTGGGGCAGGATACTGTAGCAAAACTCCTTAGAAATGCTTTCGGAAAACTGTAAAAATCGAAATCGCCGGAATTATGGCGAGTAGAAAGGATATTCAATTCACCTGTCTACGTCGAAAGGTAATTAAAGCATATGAAACCCTGGATTAATTTGAATTTGGACTTTTAATTTGCTATGACGCGATTTCGAATGTTCCAAGAATTGAGGTAATGACTTTAGAGATCAAGCTCGGTGGTTAAGTCGCTTAATTAATTTTGAGCATTTTGAATCGATTTTTCTTGAGGGAAGGCAAGCGAGCCGGGATTTTTACGAAGGCTTCAAGCCAATTTGTGTACCAAGTACGTTAAAATCGACGAGTACGTTAAAAAGTACGTCTCGATACAAAATCCGGAGTTTGGCTCTAGCTCGGAGCTAAAATACACATTTTAATCTAGGTGGGTACTTCGCGAACTCCATAAAAACTATATTTCAGACCTAGGAAACCCTAGAACACCGAAAACCCTCGAACGTGTGTGTATCTACCGCCCTCGAACTAGAAAATATTTTCGCATCTTACTCCAGATTTAGCCACACACCAAAAAAATAGGGGTTCTAGGGCTAGGCCCAACGGGGCGCTTTTTTCTGCGGCTTTTCTGGTCCTTTTTCCAGATCCTTCTCGGGGTTCCCCCATTTTAAAGGGACATTGAAGACGGGGGCAAGACGGAGGGAAGTTCGGGTGAGCGAGACAACCCCTAGCCCGTCTAACGTAATGAGCTCATATCGGATGTGGGAGCGCAAACACGCGGATCGCCGCGGAATTTTTCGGGGTGCTAGTGGATGCGGTGGTTTTCAGGGATTGAATGGACCCGTGGGCTTGTAGGGTGGTTACCCTAGAAGATGACGTGATGTTTAGGAGCTTCGGGAAGGAGGATGAAAACGAGCATGAGAGAGCTGAGGAACAGGAAGTATTTTGAAGATCTGGGGCTCACGTTGCTTTTAAGAGAAAGATTGAGAGAGTGAGCGAGAGAGAGAGCTAGAGAGAGCTAGAGAGAGCGAGAGAGAGCTAGAGAGGGCTAGAGAGAGCGAGACAGAGAGTGAGAGAGAGAGAAAGAAGCGAGAGTGTGTGAGAGATACAGAGAGAGATTCAAGTTTCAAAGCTCAGCCTCCCGCCTATAATTAATAGCGCTATTGCCAGGCCCGAAAAGGCTAAATTAGGTTGCGGCAACGCACTCGGAGACCAATTCTTTTTTTTGTGCTCAAAAATCACAAAGATCACCTCCCGTCCGGTCCCTCAAGGGGAATTAGAAATTTCGTTCCGAGCGACTCTGAAGTCTGGAGCCATTCAGGGCATTGCTTTGACGAAGTTTTTTGATGTGAACAAAGGAGACTACGCAACCTTTTTAAACAAAAGCGAGAGAGAGAAAGAGAGAGAGAGAGAGAGAGAGAGAGAGAGAGAGAGCGAGAGAGAGAGAGGGAGAGAGAAAGAAAGAGAAAGAGAGAAAGAGAAAGCTAATAGCTCCGGGAAGAGGGCCTGAAAGTGATTTGCATAAGGGGAATTTCTGGAATTACAGGGAGGATAAGTGGTGTCGCTTTTTATTAAAAAAAAATGCCAGTCTAGTCAGCGGCCATTAACGAAATTTTAGAGTGAGAGAGAACGAGATCTAGAGAAAGAGAGAGCGAGAGAGAGAGAGAGAGAGAGAGAGAAGGAGAGAGAGTGTGAGAGAGAGCAGAGAGAGAGAGAGAGAGAGAGAGAGAGAGAGAGAGAGAGAGATCTTAAACCTCTATCTCCAAAGATCCCTCAACTACACCGTAACACCGGTGACATGACCCCCAGGTGGGTGTATGTGTTTTCAAATTAGAAAATTCGGAACCCCGCATTCGGGAATCGGCAAGCAGTTCTCGCGAACTCCCACACCCGACACTCTCTAAAAGTTACACTTGCAGCCCAAGATTGGATATTCTGGGCGCGCGTAGCATCGCGGAACTTGTTGGCATCCAAAGATGGCACTTTAGGGCCCTGAAAGTTGCCACTTTTGCGGGGTTAAGGAATTTTAAAAAGCGCGAGCTACTTTTAACTTGCAGCGTGAATTTTTGGAGGGGGAACGAACGGCTCCAGGGCTTTGAATAAAAGATTAAGGTGCTCCACCAATTGCTCGAGCAAAGAATTTTGTTGTTTTTTGGGTTTTTCGGTTCGTTTGGCTTTTGGAGTTTAATTTTGAGACGAGAAAATCAAAACAAATAATGTCCTTTAATGGGTACTACTAGGTAAAGCTCCTCCCGAGGGGATGGCCAATTTTTGAGGGGGACTTTGTTTTGGGGCTTCCTTGGCATGGGATTTGGGATTAGAAAGATTAGAAACTACTGCCCTTTACATCAGTTTTTAAGATCGTGAAGAAGGAGTTGGACAGATAGAGAGAGAGAGAGAGAGAGAGAGAGAGAGATAGAGAGAGGGAGAGAGCGAGAGAAAGGGATAGCGAGAGACAGAGAGAGATAGAGATAGTGACAGTTATAGAGATGAGTACAAGAAACAGGGGAGAAGGGAGAGAGAGCAGAAAAAGTGAGAGAGAGAGAGAGCCGAAAATCGCCAAAATCACAAAGTCCAAACTCATAAATAGTGATTTTCGGAAATTCACATTAAACCCAGACCAAAAATGTACTCTGCGCCTGTACCAACGGTCAGATGTTTTCAGAAAAATGAAAATCGACCGGCGCATCGCATCCGGTTTACAAATTTCGGTTTCCGGTTGGGATTTAGTGGAGGCCGTGGTACTTTCGAGCTTTCAGCTCGTAAGAGGGTTCGAGGAGTTGTAAAAACAGCGGTGAAAACCTAAAGAATGGCCTACCCTAGACTGCAATGGATAAAGAGCGGGACGAGCGAGAGTGCGAGAGAGTTACAGATAGAATTCCCTAAAATTTGAACGGATTTTGCACCCAAATATCCATCCGGAAATGTAGGTTGGAACAAGCTACACAGGGCAATCGAAAAAACATAGAAATTTGTAGCTCCGACCGGATTCTGGCCGATTCTCGCGTTTCTTGGCTGGGAATTTTAGCAAAAAACGAGAGCGTCACGGAACCAGACACAGGCGCAATATCTATGACGATATTTAAGGCTCAGGGTTACGGTAGGCATGACTATTTTTCAAATTCAGCCTGCAGATACAGCAAATCCAACTTCCGGTACGAAGATGGCCCAGATCTTCGGGTGTAAAATTGGAGGAGGGCCACAGAGATGGGGAGAGCGAGAAAGAGAGAGAGAGAGAGAGAGAGAGAGAGAGAGAGAAACAGTGTGATAGAGAGAGGGAGAAAACAGTGTGATAGAGACAGCGAGAGAGAGAGAGACGTGAGTGAGAGAGAGAGGGAGAGAGAGAGAGAGAGAGAGAAACAGTGTGATGGAGAGAGGGAGAAAAACATTGTGATAGAGAGAGCGAGAGAGAGACGTGAGTGAGAGAGAGAGGGAGAGAGAGAGAGAGGAGAGAAAGGGAATTTAGAATTTAGGAGATCCGATGAAATTCTGAGATTTTCGATCCTCGGAATACATGTAGGCAAACAATTAGTCAACCGGAAAGCTTAAAACATCAGCAGACAGCTCGAAAATATTTTCAAAATTCGTGAAGATTTTATTGTAAAAGACACGTAGGGAAAATCTTTAACGTTAAAAAGATCATTTTTGAAAGTACCATTATCAAAAAATTTTGCTTAATTTGTCAAAAATGACACCATGAACTTAACAAACAGATCACGTTATCAAAACGGAAAATGAAATTCAATACATAACAATTACTTCAAAATTCGGAAGCTCGATATCTTCTAAATTTCGAAGAGTAATCGTGGGATTCTACCCGAGACCCGGATACATTGATGTCGTCTCGCATAATGGGACCCTGGGGAGCGTTTTTTGGGGGAAGACTTGGGTTGGGGTGGTGTCCGTGAGTTGGAACTACTCGGAACCCAAGCAGCAACAAGCCACCCAGACAGCTAAAGGCACGAAACGACAAGATTTATGTGCACGGGTAGGTGGATGAACTGGGGTTGTCAAGATGAACTTAGGATTATAAAACTAGCATTCACAATTATTTTGGGCAATTTTCAAATGTTACCATCCCTTGAAAAGGTTGAAAAACCTAAAAAATCAACTTCTGACATCCACTAGGCATCGACAAAGAGCACAATAAAAATTAGCTCTGCTAATTGGAGTGCTAGTATTGGTAACAGCTTGCTTTACCCCCTCCCCCCACAGCCGAAGGGCCTCAAAGTTTTCGGTAATTTAGCTTATTTTGTCGGGATTTTTGCGAAGTC